TGGTAGTGTCCATCTCTAGATGCATCATCCATGCAAGTTTGGTCCAAGTAGGGCTTATAGTTCCTTAGGAATGAACCTGCTCCAAAAACTTTAACCTGGTCACTCATCTGGAAAATGTAGGTCAGATCCAGCATCCGAAGCAAGTCTGGTAGTGTTCATCCCTAGATGCATCATCCGTGCAAGTTTGGTTTGGGTAGGGCTTATAGTTCCTTGGAAATGGACCTGTTCCAAAAACTTTAGCCTGGTCATTCATCTGGAAAATGCACCGGTAGGTCAGATCCAGCATCCGAAGCAAGTCTGGTAGTGTTCATCCAGAGATGCATCATCCGTGCAAGTTTGTATCAACATGTGAAGTTTGATAACACCATCTTGAATGGTATGTTTAAAACTGAGCTAAACACTAATTTAAGAAAAGTGAGGTCAAGGTCAAGGTCATAAAATGTTGATGCAGTTGCATAGTTCTCATCAATATCTATCAGCATATGAAGTTTGATGAAAATATCTTGGATATTTCTTTGAAACTTAGCTTTGAACAGAGCTAAACGCAAAGTGTGACGGAAGGACGGAAGACGGACATGACAAACACTATATACCCCGGCCATATTCATGGCGGGGCATAATAAACGTTTTTATTAAGTGTAAATTTAGATCAACTTTGAAGTGACCTTGAGACCGCACCTTTGCCTCAGGGTAATTCCCCTATTCGACATATCCTGATCCTTGTACGTAAGTTTGGTGAAAATCTGCCAGGTGCTTCTGGAGAAGATTTTTTAGCAACCAGTACTTTGGTCTTTTTTTCCTGATTGTCTCCCCTTGTTTAAGGGTCCAAACCCTATTTTGATATAAATGGTAGCCCTATAGGGCCAAGGATACCCTGTGCCTTTGGTTCAGAAGAGCTAATTAAGAGAGCTGTTTGTCATGGAAAAAGTTCACATTTACCTTTAAACAATATATATTTATTTTTGACTAAATTATTTTTATGCACTCTTGCAGTCAAATAAACAAAAAGCAATTTGAAACACTATATACAGATTAGAAATGGTATTGATAATTTCCTCTATTAAGCCTATAAGATACAACAAATTTTAAAAGAACAAAAATTAAACATAAATTTTTTAAAAGAAAATGAAACAAGTTTAGCGAGTAGTGACATGGATAGGGAATTTAGGATTTACTTTAAATATTACTATTATATTATCATTTATAGTACATTTATTTACAAGTCTAAAGTAAAATATTCATATGATAAGGACTGTCTGTATATTAAATACAAATATGTATGCATAATAAGATCACACCTCTAAATGAAATATTTATAATGAGTACTACCTCAAAGTGATATATTTACGCGTGAAATGAATAATATGAGCAAGACTTATATTTTTAGAATTTCTTTTACATAAAATATTTACAGTGTCAAGATAATTATCTTGCACAAACTCTTTTTCTCTTTATATTACAATTCAAAGGAGACATTGTAGTCAGAATAAATACACGTAGCAGATTTAAACTGCTGATGAACTTAGCAAAGCAATAACCACAATCAAAAGAGACTGCGTACACCAATCTTTATTTACATATAATGCAATGAATAAATATAGTTTATCTTGAATGGTTTCAAGATGGCAATTCCTCAGCTTCAAAAACTGAATATACATTCAGTAAGTCTTACATTCCTCATTTTCTCAAAATTTGAAGGGTAACCCCAGTAACTGCAGTGCCATCGATTTCAATCATTACAAATGATATCACATTTATGATCTTTTAAATTGTGAATAGAAATTGTACAAGGAACTTGCTTCTAAAAAGGCCATGTCTTATGATTTTCAATTACAAGCAATATTCTATTTATTTGAACAAGTTTATATCTGAAGTCATTCAAGATAGGCTATAATTACTTAACTTAAAAAAAAACCTTAAAACAAAAGCAGTCACTCCAACATGAGCTGGCTCATTGCATTTCTTCTTCCTTCTTTCCTTCTGTATTCCACAAAAGAACCCAATACACTACCCACCATAAACAGAACTCATGTATACAGACTTTCAACTACCCAGTAGATTATACCTGTATATTTTTTCCATATTGTGGACCGCTTTCACAGAAAGTGGGGGATATTAATTTTGGTCTGTCTGTACTTCGGTCTGTCTGTAACAGTTTCATTTTTGCACAAGATTTCAAGAAAACTTGATTTCCAGTTCCAGTAAAATTTTATACCACATGGCCTAAAAAAATACCACTATTTATTTTGAAGTCAAAGATCTAGGTTGTAAATTCATACATTCATTTCTGGACATTATGTCAAGAAGCTTTGGAGTTTTTGCAATATTTTTTTCACCAAAATTCCATATGGCCCCGTCTGCCCTTTTAACCCCTTCCATGGCAAAGATTTTAAGTATTTTTTGATAAATTGAGATTAAAATTTCAATGCATATTTTTAAGTATTTCTTGTAATTTTGTATATACCAATGTATATATGTTCTGAAAGCAGGTATTCTGTAGTTTCTAAAAATGGTTATAAAAATATCATTTCAATTGCCATGGCAACTAAATACACCATAATCATGCTTGAAGTTCCATTTATTCAGGAATGAGTTTCATTCTAGTTTTTTTGCTTAGTTAAATATATTAGAAAATATTTTATTGTTGTGTTGAAAATTATGAGCATGTTGTACATTTTTTTTTTACAAACCAATTTTAAGTATTTTGGGGGGATTGGGCGGGGTTGGGACGTAATCATCAGAAGTTAGGATTTTTACATATAATGTGTTACCCCTGCATTGATTTCGATAATGACAAAATCGCTCAAATTGTGCGCAAAGTTTAACTCAAGCTAGCAAAAAAACTGGTACATTCAATAACAAAAATTCCGCGTATTTTTTCATTGTAATTATTTTCTCTTTCCAACAGTACAAAGTTATTCTGATATTTGCAGTATTAACAAAGTTATGAATGTTTTTTCACACTATACACGTTTTTCAAGTCAGATGCATAGAAATGCGTATATGCTATGTAAGGGGTTAAAAGTCCCCTCCCACCAACTTCCTCCACTAGATCTGTGCATGTTCTGTCTTCATTAAGTAGGGGACAGTACATAGATTCTCTAAATTAGTGTTTTGTATACTAAGGGGACACTTTGTACTGATGATTGGTCTTTCTTTCATCATCACAGTATCTTGATCAAGCAGTAAATATTTTAAGCAAAGGATTAGACTATATACAGATAATTTTTTTTCTGACAGGCATATCTACAGATATTTTTCTTTCAAGAATAATGGGGAAAATTATTTATGGTGGGTAGTGTATTATCAATCTCTCAGTTCATGGCCAGCCCTAATGCCAGTTGGTCTCAGAGCTTGGGATGAGCTCTGAGCTGGCTAGTGTTGCTGTGATCTTGAAGCAATTTTAAAATTTTTTATACTAATGGATTATCTGCGTGGTTCTTGGACGTCTACTACCAGTTTGATAAACATAGTGTCATCCTTGACATAAGCTAGACTTGGATCGTCCAATTTTGAGAGGGGAATAAAGAGGGGGCAGCCACTAGCGATGTTCATTTCTGTCGTGGGTCGTTTAAAGGAACTGCTGTTGGGATCAGGACGAAAAGAGTCCACTTGATGCTCCTTGTTGTTTTGATCCAAGAGCATGAAAGTCACACGGTAAGAGAATGGCCACATTAGCAGGGCATCAAAGTTACCTGAAAAGAGTAGAAAGAGATTTTACATATCCATAAAACCAATTCTTCATAACTCCACATACTGTAAATGTATTATATTTGGCGTGTACGATATTTGGCGGAAATTGAATTTTCAACAAGTTGGCATAGATTTGATTTAGCACTTTTTGAATGTGCATTACATAAACCTTTATACACAAAGCATTAACAATGTACTTGATTTAGCTGAGGCTGCTTTCCGCGAAAGGCGCTAAAAAGAATACACAGCCAAATGTAATACGTTTACAGTATATACTAGTATGTAAGTTTGTCTCCCATGTAAGAATACACTGAACAGAGGTATTATGTAACATATCTCTACATAAGATTCCCTTTTCTTATGAAATTTTGTCAATTAAGAATTGTTTATTAGTTGTAAACCCCATTTCAGGTAATTTTTTTATATTTCAATTACACAGTGCTGATTTTCCAGTAAGAAATTAACAACTGAAATGTAAATGTATAAAAGACAGCTTACCTCTCATGACAACAAAGAAGATGGACATGTGTGTGTTCTTCCCCATTCCGTCTCCATTGGGATACAGTCTGGCACACATCTTGTAGCCATTCTTGTTGGTGTAGAAGATGGGGGAGTATAAACTCGTGACCTGGTTACTCTGGGCCTCAGATCGACGCTTTCCCCACTCAGAGATCTTCCAGATTAGTGTCCCATCATATGTTGTCAATTCTAATGTTTTAATTCTTAGTTCCTGTTCTGCTAGAGCAACATCCTTTATAGGGAAATCAAAGATTTAAATATAAATTCCACAAAATTACTCATATATATATATATATATATATAGATATTACTTGCTTAAAAATAAGTGTAAACTTGATGAAATTCCACAACTTTCACTGGCATTTTTATTGCAGTAAAATCTATAATGCTCACGTATTGCTGTTCAAAATTTGAACCTACCTTGAGTGAAATGTTCCTTTCCAAGGCCCTTATTTTCTTTTCTTGATTCTCTATCATTTGTTTGTCTCCTTGTCTGTTCCTCTCAACATTTTCTATTGCTGTTATGCAACGTTCAATTTCTCTATGTAGAGTTGTGACAATGCCTTCAAATGTCCCTGTTTTTAACTCGAGAGCCTGAACTTTTGACCTCACCACATTGGATTCCCCGTCCCCAGCGATCCCCCCACCTGCTGGACCTGAGGTCTGTATGGCCTGAATCTGCTGATCCTGTTGTTGTACTTTCTGTTTGAGTTCAGTTATGTGTGAAACAAATTGACCCAGGTCCCCCTGGACCACCACAGACTGCAGTCTTGTCGTACAATCCCGCAGTCCATCTATCAGGGCCTGTATGTGTATTCCAGGCTTCCTATCCAGATGTTCAACAAACTTGTCTCTGCTGATCTAAAGAGAGAATGATTACTTATAGAAAAGCGTTCTTGCTCATTACAAAGAACTCACATAAAGTCCTGCACTCTATGCCTGCTGTATCTGACCACCAAATTCACCTAGAATCTTGTTTTTTCTCACTACATGGTACTTACATCACCACACTCCTGAAGGCAGGGAACTTTCTGATTTGAGCACTCTTTATCTATGTGATGCTGCATCTGCACAAATAACATATACGTAAAATGTAAATTATACAGATTTTCTTCCAAACAAACTACCAGTATACAATATGAAGCCAAATTTAGAAATTCTGAATATTTTCACTTAAATACCGGTATAAACTGTAAAACATGCTTATAGAGAACACCCTTGGAATGAATTGAAGCTTATAGCAAAGTGATTTTCATTCCCCATGGCTTTAAAATATATTGAGAACTTAACATATATAGTGAATTAAATTTAAAATGAAGCAAAATCATCCATATCTGGCACTTTGATATTTAAAGTGTGTTTTACTGTAAACATACATGTATATAATATTTTATATCATAAGCTCTTAGAATACCTTGTCCCTTTGTATTTTTTTCTTGCCACAAGAGTCACATTTGATTGGGAATTTTGGACATTCCAAATTATGTTTCTGTAAGAGAATGATAAGGAAACACAATTATTTAACAAGTCAAACAATCTACAGGAATTGCAACAATCAAATCTAAGAATTTATGTCTCCCACATTTGGACAAGAAGTTTAAATTATTATCTGAAAGAATTTTGAATATTATATAAGCTTTCCTTACACTGACTTTTGAGATAGATTAATTTGAACTCAAAATCAATATAGGTCTTCTTTATGTCATAGAGTCAGAAGTTATAAAATTTCATTTAAAAAAACCCACAGATTTCTCCAGATTTCATACAGAAACTAAGTGTTTCAGACAAACAGAATGACAGACCAAATTCATATACTCTTCTTTTAAGGGGGGGTGGGGGTGGGGGGGGGGTTATTCTTAAAAAAAGAGAAATATATGCTGCCTGTTCTTCTCTCTATTCTATACTCTGTCTGTTCATGTATCAAGACATGTTATTTTTCTTTAAGGCCATAATAAATAAATTGCTAGATTCTCATCCGAATTATTTTAAAAATCGAGGCGGGCGGGCGGCTTTTATTTTATATTTTTTCAATTTTGCAGATTTTTTATTGACCTGGTCAGTCGGTGTAATTTTATCTACAAAACCCGAATAAAAGTCATAGTAAAGGTTCAATTATCTCTTACTTCACATCATCACCAATCTTTTTCAACCAATGACCCTTGTTTAAAATATATACGCATGTATTACTGCAATTACCATCTTTTCAGCTGTCAAAATCATGTCGACTTTAGCAGGATTTAAAACAAAAGTAGAATGGTAGATGAATACCAACCCCGATCAGAATTAAGACGAAGAAAAACAGAAATAAAAAAAATTGAGGCGGGGGTATAAAATCGGGGAGGGCGGTGATGAGAATCTAGGAATATTTTTATTATGGCCTATTAGGGCTGTGTATTGAGCCAAAAATTTCGATACGATACAATATTTTTTAAAGCGATATGCGATATATTGGATTCTAAAACAAGTCCATCAGAAAAGGCTTCTAATTCACTTTAAAGCATGAATTTCATAACAATCAAGTGTTTTATTCCCAATTTTAAAGTTCTTGACTCACTGTCATTACAAATAACACTTCAAATTAAAACTTTTAATGACAGTGAAATCAACATGTTCAAATAAAATCCTCTTTGTGTTTTGTAATAGTTATAAAAACTGTGTTATTTCCTTACAAATTATATAATTATTGAACAGTTTTAATTCAAAAAAGACTTTTAAAGTGAAGTATAATCTTTGGTGATTGAAATTCCCATCTTTTTAACAGATTTAGAAGAAAAACTGTCTGTCCAATACGTATTGGAAGTTATTTTTCGATACGATATTATTCTTGAATATCGATACGTATCGATATATCGATACATTGATACAGCCCTATGGCCTAATACTGTAGAACAAAGCTATCATCTGATTTAACAAACCTCCATGTCCTCCATTGTGATCTCGGTCTGACAGTATTTACAGGGCACCCTCCGTTTTGGACACTCCTTAGTCATGTGATCCTGCAGAGCCTGGGGTTCTATAGGCATTCCACACTGCTGACAGGGAACTGGCTTAAATTTACATTCTGCCATATGACCCTGAAAGCAAACCAGTTTAAATTTTATTTTTTTTTTACTTTGTATTCACTATTAGGAAAACTGGTGGCTGTGTGGCTATCTGTCTAAGAGCACATTTACATGTACTTATCAAGAATAAAAGAATACCATCATGATTGGGATATCAAACACATTTTTCAAACATAAGCATCTAGATTACTGTAAAATCCTTGATTTTTGTGGTAAAAAGAGATCCATGAATTCAAAATGTTAAAATCCTTAACTACAGTTTCCCATTTCTTCTTTAACCATTTAATTAAACCTGCAAGAACCAATATTTTTTTCCTTTAACCGCATAAATTTTACTCCCCAAAAATAAGTGATTTCACATTATGGCACACATTTCTGACCTCATACTGCTTGAAAGTCCCTTTCCAGGTACATTTTGGGTTGATGCATTTAGCTGGCATGGCTCCCATTTCTCTTCGTACAGCATTGTCAGGAAACATCTGTAAAAATAAAAACTTCAGTTTAGTCTTGCTACATGAATACTGTATTTTTACGATATATTAGCGGCTTAATTAGCATATTCAAAAATTAAATTGAGTTTGAATTATGCATTAGCATGCTCATAAATAAGCATATCTGAAGGAGTGTGAAAGGTGCTAAAATAAATACATTCAGAGTATTTTACAATTAATACTTATAACCAATTTTTCTTTCATTTGTTCTTGGTATACCTGTAATTCAATACTTGTAACTAAGGGCAGTTACACACGGTAAGGCTTGTCTTAAAAGTCTACATTTTGCAGGACGCAAGGCTCCCATGTCCACATGCTAAGGCAGGACTTTCAAGATTATATAAACAACATTTCCATAAACTCCATGTTTTTTTTAGCCATAATCAGTGCGCATTATTAAAACAGAATAATAGATTACTGGCTAGGATTTTGAAATAATTTTACTGACCAGTGCATTCACACTTCTTAACAAAGAGGAGGAGGTTTACAGAAGCATTTTCAGATGATTTTATTAGCTTATTTGAATATAATTTGTGTTCTCTTCAATCTACCCACTTGTATGGTTTTATAAAAATAGATTGAACTTTGGGTGAATGGTTTTCATTGGTTGAGAATTAAATGTCAGGTAAGTCTTAAATTAAGAAATAGAGCAGCGTTCTATTCCTAAGTCAGACTTGTAAGGCTTGAAAAAACGTGTATTAAGGGTTTACACACTGACACAGTAAGGCTAGAACACTAGTACTTCCATGACTAATATGGCAATTAAGCCTTACTGTGTGTACCGGCCCTAACAACTGACCTGATCCATTTTCAGTATACTATATTCTTCATCCATTGTTCCTTCTTCTATACAGGACTGACATCTTACTTGCTCATTAGATCTGATTTGGAATTAAAAAAAAATTTAAATCTTAAAAATGTCACAAAATACTATACAATAATATAATAAATTTGTAACAAAGATTTTTTCAATATAAATAACTGTATCAAGCATCTTTTATTCCATGTACATTTCATTACTTACCAAAATCAATTTCAAAATCAATCTCTAAATATGCAACATGTTTAACTAATTACATAAATCAAAATTATAAGTATTTTTAGTATGTACTGACAGTACTGTAACAATCCTTAATTTATACAATTAAAACAAAATAATAAAATGTTAAAGATTTGTTACACAGTGGTTTTAAGTATCATACTTATTTGCAAATAATTTGAATTACTGTAGAAGTACTTTTTTCCGCGTGGTATTAATTTACGCTATGTACGCGGTCACAAATTTTCCGTGGAAATTTGTCCAAGCGTATTTAATGTAAATGTAAGACATAGTGACAGTCTAAGAAATCCACATAATTTACAACCCGTGGATTACCGGTAAACAAAATTTGAGATTCCGGGGAATTATGACCCGTGGAAAAAAGATGTCTACAGTATTCTATTTATAAACAGATAAACTTTTAAAAAAATATATATGTATATGCAGTATATTTATCTGGTCATTTTCAATTTTTATGATTTTAACAAAAACACAAAAATTGGCATCATTGGGAGAAAGACAAAAGTATAAAATTACAATACAAATTACACACGTATTTTGGGGAAAATTCAAATACCGGTATCACATTAGAACTTTCAGAAAATAAAATGTTTAACATGTTTAATATTGGTTTGTTAAAATTAAAGAAATATACCTGATGATGCTTTCCATACAAGAGCGACAAAATCTGTGACCACAGTAGCTCTGTACAGGGTCTCTCAAAATTAATGAACAATGGTTGCATAAAAATTTTCTGTCAAAGTTTTCATTGGTAAAGATTTCTACTGGGTAGCCTCCTATTACTTGTGGAGATGCCATCTTAGTACCCTTGGTAAACTTCTGAAAAATATGTAGACAATGAGAGTTTGGAAAGTATATTTTAGATGGAGATAAAATATTTGATTTTTTTTTAAAACATATCTTCCAGAAGATCCAGTTTAAAATTGGAATCCACATCTGACAAACCTGCATGGTAAGACCATAAGTTTCTGACATTATAGTTCAGCATATAAGGTACGTATCAGGTCAGTTCACTCTAGCCTACATGTATTTATCTGTTCATATGAGTCCCTTCCCCCAGGATCTGTTTGCCCTATACCCTGTTCGATGCATATATTTCTGTCATCCTGTTGTTAATATTGTTTGCTAACATTATCGATGAATTATACGTCATATTTCTTTTTTATTTCTTAATTTTAAAAAAATCTAATATATATATTCTATTTCCATCAGTTTCAACTTTATTTACAATTTTAATGTTTTTTAAAGACTTACTCAGTTTAATTTCTGTTAATCAAGTACTTATACTTTAAATTAGGGAACCTTCTTTTTCTTCAAAGGTTTGTATATCAATAATGTTTCCTAAATATAATTATTAAAATTGGGGGTACTCAGTATTACTCAGTAGTGTTAGTAGGCCATTTTATTGGGGATGAACAGCCTATGAGCAAATTAAGGGTTTATTTTTTTAAGAATCTTTTATTCTCAACTTAATTTAATGTTATATAAAACATATAAAGTATGGGGTAAGAAGATCGGTAGAGAGAGAAATAAAAGAGAACAAATGGTCATGGGGACATGTCCAGAGATGGACACAAGATAGTCCAACAGGGAAGTCTCTGGTTACAGCCTTATGTGCTGACCAGCACGAAGAGTACTAACTAACTTTATGTATAACATATACTTACTTATAACTACATGTAGTAACACACTATACATGTACTACTTTTTTTTCTTCACCTCTACTCTGGTAAATATTTCTGTGTAGTAAATGATAATTCAAATAAAGTCTTTAAATTCAAAATAATCAAAGGAAATTAGAAAAATTAACCTGCTAACCTACTATGGGGGAATGGACTTGTACTTACTATAAATATTAGTTGTCACTTGGCATGAGATTTTTGACCATTTTAAATAAGAAGCGAAGTCGTGAACACTTGCATTGAAATAGCTAAATAAAGCTTGGTTGGTAAATCAAGCAATGTGGCTTAATGTATGGATTGTCCTGAATCTGTCTACTTGGAAGGTCAATCAGACAGTGCCACAAGGTTTTTTTAAGGTCTTTAAATCATTCAATCAAGGCCCTGGGACTTTCCATTTGGGAAAAATAACTACCTCTGGTTTTAATTTTTTTTTCATTTTCAAAGGTTCATTGACTCATTTTACATTCAGTCAATCAGTTTTTGGAGAACATGGAGAATGCCTTTTAGATTTTTTTTAAAGAACATTTTTTAGTTTACATATTTTTAAGTTTGGCCATTTTAACCATATTCATTTGTTTCGATTCTCTTTTGGGAATTCCCTTTTATGAAATTGGGAAACACACAAACTACTTACCAATGAGAATGGGGCCTTATACTAGTTATACCATGTGTAAAAGCCCCATACGAACCCTTTAAAACAACCCTGACCACAGTTAAAACTCAATAATGAACAAGCAACATAAACATGGCTTTACTAGACCCAAAACTATAATATATAAAATGAAATAATTAAATACATTCCAATCACATCCTTTAAGACCTTTTGGGTGGTTTCAGTTCAAAAAAATACTTTTAGTTACTTTCGATTTCGATATACCAAAAAGAGGGACATTAATTAACTCTTTTTATACTTTATTGGAATAGTTGATAAGTTTTTGTTAGCAATATATTTTAAGCCTTTCTACATGAAAAAATGATCTGAAATTGAAATACCTATATAATTATCTTGCACCAAAAATAGAAAAACTCAAATCATGTTGTTCTCTTCTACTTCCGGAATGGGTAGTGTTAAGCCGTAACAAAAATATTTCGATTCTAACATCATCCGCGGCAAAATATTCTGTGTTTATTCATGATAAATAAATACTTTGTTAAGACTTTCTTTAATGTTGATATTTTAACGATCCACTCATTTAAATCAATCTCATGTGTGAGAATAATAAAACTGTAAAAGTAAAAGGATTGCATCCCAGATTTAAAAAAAAGAAGAATAATTAGAAAAAGGTGCCTGCGAATCGGCCGGGAGACACCCCCCTTCCCCAAAATTACAAGGTATAATTTTTTAGGTGTACTTTGGACTTAAAATTAAAGGGAAGAATCAGTAAAAATAAAAAAGTTCTTTGCCAAGGGTAAAATGTTATTTTACAACTTTTAAGCATTTAATGATCAGGTTCGAGAGTAACATGCGTTTCGCATGACCCGAGAACCAAACGTTTTAGGACGAAGGCATACAGATTAGTTTGAGGGTCGACAAAATTCACATAGACGCTTGGTTTCAGGATGGTGTATTTTGTGTAATATGTGTTTTCTTTGTACTCTTTTTATATACAGTAAATATGACATTTTTACAACGTGCTAATTTCAGCGAGTTTTTATTTTTCAAGGCCGTAACTACCATTGAGGCAAGTGAGGCAAATGCCTCACTAAATTTTTAGAGTTTATACTGAAAAGTGAAAAAAAGTTTAACATTGAACATATGAATTATATGTGTCTTCGTGCTATATTTAAAATATTTTAAAATTTTGTTTCAATTTCTGTAAATCGTTCATCTCACAGGTGCCTCATTTTCATGTAGAACGCATGTAAACTATAATTCAAAATGTTCGTTTTGTAAATTGTTTGATTGTTTAATGTCCCTTCTAAGAATTTCTTATATCATAATAGACACCGCTACTTGCCGGTGGAGGGCTTTTATTTTAAATGACACACTGTACTGGGCTTTAAGGTCACTGAAGATGATTGAACAGTGAGAGATCTTTATGTGCCATCACTTACTGTGACATAGGACCTGGGTTTTTACTGTATATCGGATGAACTATATCTACATCCCGCAGTCGGATTCGAACCCGCGATGTAAGAATCAACTCATAAGTCTGCAATTCTAAACGCTCTGATTACTGTGTCATGCAGGCGACAACTCAAAACGTAAAATTTTTATAAGATTAATTTTTTATTTTCTAATACCCAGGTTTCAGGACCCCCATCAACTTGAAAACTGCATCACTGGCCATCAGGTACTACCCTTGCCCCGTCTGAGACTAGGAATGCCCAGCACTCTTGCCTCACTAAATATTTCAGCTTAGTTACGGCCTTGTTTTATTTTGATGAGGGTATTCAGACACACCTAGAAAAACACATAATACACAAAATACACCATCCTGAAACCAAGCGCTTATGAAAATTCATATACGTAACCCTCGAACCAAATGTTTTCAATTTGTAATACCTTTTATTACCGAAAAAAGGGCATGCAATGTATCTTGAGCTGTATATCTAAATTTAATTTGAGGTTGAACTCGGTCAATTCCGTCATGGTCGAACACCAGTGACTGCAAATGAGATTTAGCTGACCCCGCCCATTGTGTAACGTAAGCGTTCCAACATCCCATCAACGGGTCCAATATCTCACTCACTGGTCAAATCACAGGCACCACTACTTTTTCCTTTATTAATTTTTAAGCAAAGTGTCTGCACGTAGATTTTTACTTTTTTTTTTAGCTGTCATTTTCCCAGTTAATCCGTCTTCCTTTCAGAATCTATCATATAAAGGAGACTGAAATGATATCTTTTTTTTTCACGGTAACTATTAAAAATTAGCTAAAAAATCAATTAATACGCGATTGGTAATAAATTTTAAAACATTACTAAGATGACGATATGTACATGAAAAGTGAAGGATGTTTTAAGTGTAAAATTCTCCTTACTTCTTCATTCCCTATCAAATTGGGTGTACGTCAGGGAGATAACTTGAGCCTTACTTTATTCAAAATGTTTATGATTAATTTGTATTCATTGTAATCACAAAACATTGAGAAATATAGAGGAAAAAAATTGCCCAAACTCGAAAATCTTATTTGTAAGGGGGAGGGGGGGGGGTTAGATTCAACTTCTTTCAGTGCCATTTTCCCCCCAAATACTCTACATTTCCCATATTTGGCCCTTACTTGACCTAGTTGCAGAACTGTAGCTCTCCGAAAAAATATAGACTGACAGACCGGAGAGCTACAGTGCCACCCATTGAAAAAACTGTATATTTATTGCGCACAAAAAAGTGCGCTGTTTCTCGATTTATTTCTCCATGTTTTTCAAACTGTCACATCAAAACATTACTAACCGTGTGATCATCACATAATCTTTAACTGTTTCCCACAACAAAACGTTCCTTATAATTGGTATTAATAGCCCTCCTAGCCCTGAAATTGATCGAAAATTTCGTCCATTTATACTGCCATTTTTGTTTGCAAGATAATTCGGTCGAACACGCTTCGTGAAGATGTTATAACTATGAGAGTAGTTGATAGAAAAGTAAGGAATTTTTTAAAATTCAAATTAGCTTTTTTGAAATTGAGGTAAGAATTTTGAAGAATTAATCCAGAACCAAGCGTAAATTTTTGTGCCCAATAAATATACATTTTTTTTCTATGGTTGGCACTGTAGCTGGGGCATCCCCCCCCGGTTGCTACGTGCCTGATTTAGAATTCAATCTTTTCATGAATATTGATAAAGAAGTGCGTAAACAGTATATTGACACGCATGCCCGCGGGAAATCAGAGACAAAGGGCAATCGCAACTTCTCGGGCCTTTCCGACTAGCGGAAAAACGACCTCGAATGTATATATGGAAGCCGCCATGACAACTCCCCCTTTTCACGATCTTTGAAATAAATGCATGGGGACCTTTTATCTGTGGAATATGGAGTTTAACTTTATTCAATGTAATGATATTACCTATAAAATATAATATACAAGGGACTTCTAACTCCGTGTATCCTATATTTGAATAAACAGGAAATGTATAAATTTTTAACATCCGGTGATGTTAATACATTCGAGGTTGTTTTTCCGACCTCTGACGGAA